TCTTGCAATCTATAAGGAATTTGTAGATGATCCAATAATGAAAGTTGTAGCCCTTTGAAAAATCAAACTGTTTGTCATTTGGAATTTTGTACAAAAAGTTATGCCCATTATCCCGAAGGGTGTCTGTGAAGAGGAAACAACATTTGTACATCGCGATCGCGAGGTTTTTGCCGCGATCCCGATGAAGGAAAATGATGATGTAACTTTTGTTAACCGCGGTCACATGGATAATGACTATGATCGTGTAGGAGGCCTCGCAGATGTATTAAACATCTAATTTCAGGATTTTGATCTCATTTCATCACTTTTAAGTTCTTGGAGCTCATGTGGGGCGATTTGGGGTGATTCTTGAAGATCGTTTTTGCCATATATCATAAGGCAAGTTTTTCCTACTTGTTTTGAGTTAAATACATGCGTTATATATGGATTTTAACATGGAAAATTGACAGAAATTATGGATTTTGGAAGAAAACCTAGAAATGGTATTTTTAAATTTTGATCACGAAATTGGACATGGAATTAGGAATAAATTATATATTTGAGTTTATGGTCATATGGGTAATGTTTATCTTTGAAATTTTTTGGAATCCGGGCATGTGGGACCGAGGGTTGACTTTGTTGACTTTTTGAGTGGAGTTGGAAATCATTATAAATTGTTAAATTGTAAGCATTGGAGTATATTCTGATTGATTTGCACGTTGTTTGACTAGTTTCGGATCGTTTGGATTTGAGTCGAGGAGTTAGAGAGGCATTGGAGCCGGTTATGGAACTTCAACGAGGTAAGTCTCCTGTCTAACCTTGTGAGGAGAAAATTACCCCGTCGGTGTGATTCTTGTTTTATACTACATGTTGTGGGAGTTGCGCACGTATGAGGTGACGAGTGTCCGTGCGCATGCTAGAATTCCTGATTGTTGTTGGTTTTGATTTATGCACAGGATATTTTGACTAGTGAGTGTCACATGACTTGAACCTCGTCACTTCTTTACCTAGGTTAGTCTTGATACTTACTGGTACCGACCGTGGTACTCATGCTATACTTCTGCACATTTTTGTGCAGATCCAAGTGTTGGAGGTAGTGGATCTAGGCAGTGAGAGCTTCATTGACCGTGAGGATTCAAGGTAGCTACATTAACCATCATAGTCCTTTGAAGTCCTATCTGTATAATGATATTGTCATTTCATTTTTCGCACAATATTGTATTTTGAGATATTCTTATATTTTTCGTTAGAGCTCATGACTCTGTACTACCTAGTTCTGGAGAGATATTGTGATTATCGTCACTTTGGCTTGTATTACCTCTATTTCATATTTATACTAAAATCTACTTTATTATATTATATTTTTATTGATTTAACTGTTGTAACTGATCGGCTTACCTAGTATTAGAAACAAGGTGACATCACGACCCCTATGATGGGATTTAGGTTGTGACATAAACATACTTTCCTTTTATTCTTCCCGAGGTCGCTTAGATTTTTTACTTGACAATTTACATTTCTTTTTATACAGATAAATATTCTCAAAGAATTTAGCACTTTCTAATTTGATTACCGTATTAATATGAATATCGGAATTTTCTTATTATGAACCAGAAAGCGATATGCCTTACTATTTGTTCATATCCTATGAAAATGCAATCAATGATTTTCTGTCCAATATTTACCCTTTTGGGTTTAGGAACTTGCACTTTAGCCAAACACTTCCACACTTTAAAATATTTTTAAGTTGGGTTTCCTTCCTTTTTTATTTTTCATATGGAATGAATTGTGTGTTACTATGAGGAACTCGATTGAGTATTCGCTTAGCAGTAAGACTAGCTTCCCCCACAAGTTCTGGGGTAAATCAAAATTTATCAATAAGGCGTTCATCATCTCCTTTAATATTTTATTCATTCTTTCTGCAATTTCATTAGATTACAGTGAGTAAGGGGCAGTTCTCTGGTGAATAATTCTATATTCCCAACATATTTCTTCAAAAGGAGATTCATATTCGTCACCCTTATCACTTCTAATTATTTTGTTCTTTTTATTTAGTTGTGTTTCACCTTTATTTTTGTACTACTTGAATGAATCAATTACTTCATATTTACTATTAAGTAAGTAATAAAGCAATATTTAGTACTATCGTCAATAAAAGTTATGAAATACTTTTTTTCACAGTGAGAGGTATTGACTTCATATTACAAATATCTGTGTGAATTAACTCTAAAGGATTTAAATTCCTTTCAACTGACTTATGAGGATGTTTGACATACTTTGACACATATTTGACATTTCGAGTTATTGCAATCAAACTTAGGCAATACTTTCAAATTAACCATTTTTTGCAAAGTCTTGAAGTTGAAGTGACATAAATGTTCATGCCATAAATTATTTGATTCAAGCAAGTAAGAAGAAGCTTAAATTTTCTTTATATCAATGACAATTATATTTAGTTTGAAAAGGCCCTCGGTAAAGTAACATTTTCCTACATACATTTCATTCTTACTAACTATAACCTTGTAGGAAATAAAAACACACTTAAAGTCATTTTTGACTAGAAGTGATGTCGAGACTAAATTCTTTTGCATTTCAAGAACATGAAGGATATTGTTTAGAGTCATAATCTTGCCAGAAGTCATCTTCAAAGCTTTCTTGCTTGTTCCCTTGATTTTTGCAGTAGCAGAATTTACCATAAAACTGTCTCGTTGGGTCCAGCGGGAGCATAAGAAGTAAATAACTTCTTGTTAGTACAAACATGACGAGTGGCCCAGAATCAATCCACCATTCTATAGGATTTCCGATCAGGCTATATTCAGAAAGCATGTTACACAAGTTGTCCATTTCTTCCTTATTCTCAATCATGTTTGCTTGGCTTTTCTTTTTGTCCTTCTTTGGTGCACTACAGTCGACAACATTATGTCCAATATTTCTATAATTGTGGAAATTACCTTTGAAGTTCTTTTTCTTGGGTAATTCTTTGATGCAGACAACTTCTTTCGCTTTTTGCTCGTTGAAGCTTCCTCAATAATATTTGCTCCCATTATTGTTGAGTTTCCACGAGACTTCTTTTCTGCGGACCTAATGTCATCATCTTCAATCCTTAGGCGAACAATAAGGTCTTCAAGTGTCATCTATTTATGCTTATGTTTCAAGTAGTTCTTAAAGTCCTTCCACAGTAGAGGCAGCTTTTCAATTAATGATGCAACTTGAAATACTTCATTTATGACCGTACCTTCAATCATAAATTTATAAATAGTAATTTAATCAATATCTATAATAAAAATATTGATTCGACTTATACCTTCAGCAAGGAGGCCGTGAACAATTACTTGCAATTTTTGGACTTGAGTTATGACAAACTTGCTGTCAACCATTTTAAAGTCAAAGAACTTTGCGGCAACATACTTTTTAAGTCCAACATCTTCTGTCTTTTATTTCTTTTCAAGAGCGTTCCACAACTCTTTCGAAGTTTTCATGATACTATAAATATTGTAGTAGTGGTGGCAATTTAAGAAATAATATTTGCACAAGAAGTCAGAATGCTTCCATGCCCCCGTGATCACAAACCACTCATTATCTGAAGTTCCTTCTGCCAAGACTAGAACGTCCTCGTTCAAAAAATAGAAAAAAACAGAAGACGTTAGTTTAAGAAAATAAAAACAGAAAAATTCAAGCCTACAAGTTTCGTGTGTGTCCTTAAGGAATTTAATCCTCTCACAGTTACCCAAGGTTTCGGATTAATTTTTCCTAGAATAGAACGAAATAACTATTTTGTGATAGCGGCACTACAAATCATAAAACTTCGGTGAACTCAAATGGCGAAGCAAATCACACTAGATGCTTATGTTTTGCTTTGGAAAAATAATGCAGAAATACATAAGAGAGGGGGGAGAGTTTGCAGATTTTCGGTGGTGGAAAATAAGGCTCCATTTATAGCCAACGAACTTGAGTTCCAACAAGTGCAAAGATGCATGTCCGTTTGATAAGGTGTCTTTTCGGTAGAAATTATTTAAATTTCCGTTAAATAGACTGTTTGCCGAGAATTTGACCGTTGGAAAAATAATGCCGCAAATCCAAAAAAAATGGTCCAAATTAATTATCAATCAATTATATTAATTGACCAAATCCGAATCTGAGCGACGACGACAACGACGCGAGACTTGCTTTCTTTTCAACTCTTTAAAAGTTAGAAAAAGTGCTTCTATATATAAGCGCAAGAATTTTAAGGGACAAAGTTCTCGTGTAAAATGAACCAATTCAAAATTTTATTTTCCTCCATTATTCATTCATACCTCTTTTATCTAATAAATAAAATCCAACAAAACTTTTATCCGTTCTGTCTAGACGCAGTTCCCTCTAATGATGCATACCTATTTATATAAATATTGGTAATATTAAGTCTTCGATAACCAAAAAAATAATGGATTAGTTAGATTGAAAAGCATTCCCCACTATAATGTTATAATAATCTTTCCCCTTTTTCTATTTGCCATTTAAGATTTCGAGAAACCTATTAAAAAGTAAGGTAATAACATAAATCGTAAAAAAAAGTACTTCATGCGTTTTAGTTTAGTTATATTAGTATTTTCTTATTAGTCTGTTAAAAAAATGCCATTTATTAATTTAAAAACAATTAAATTTAACTTTTTTTTATCATTAATGAAAAAAATTATAGCCACATAAATATTATGACTTATTTAAATTAATAACTTCAAAAGTATTTCTCCCTTAAAGTAATGTCTTTTTGTAAAAAATTTATGTAAAGTGAAATTAATTTAAACCAAATTCTTCTAACAAACAAAAAGCAGGGGAGGGAGTAATGTTATTTTTACTCATTCCTCCCCTCTTTTGACGCCATTATTTCCGTAGCAAACGATCTACACCTGCACAGCTCCACTATCCTCTTCTAGCCGTATTTAACATCCAACACAAATCAACGCTTCTTATAGTTCCACGTCATCAATCCTCGTCTCTCTTCGTTCTCCAATCAAAACAAACCTCAATTACTTATAAATACAAAAACCACATCCATTCTTCTCCAACAAACTTTTCATCTTTCTCAAATCTTCGGTAAATTTCTACACTATTCCATGGCTCCGAAGGCAGAAAAGAAACCCGCCGAGAAGAATCCGGCACCGGAAAAGCCTGAAGTTCCGGCGGAGAAGAAGCCAAAAGCCGGTAAAAAACTCCCTAAAGACGTCGGTCCCGTAGCCGGAGAAAAGAAGAAGAAGAAGGTGAAGAAGAGTTCGGAGACGTACAAGATCTATATATTCAAAGTGCTAAAACAAGTGCATCCAGATATAGGAATTTCGAGCAAAGCGATGGGAATAATGAACAGTTTTATTAACGATATATTTGAGAAACTTGCTCAAGAAGCTTCTAAATTAGCGCGGTATAATAAGAAGCCTACAATTACGTCCAGGGAAATTCAGACGGCGGTTAGATTGGTGTTACCTGGTGAATTAGCGAAGCATGCTGTTTCTGAAGGGACTAAAGCTGTTACCAAGTTTACTAGCTCTTGAAATTTTTTAAGGATTGATTAGGTTATATTGGGAATTGAGAATTGGGGTTAGGGTTTCGTTCAATAGTATTAGTCGGTTAATTTTTGTTGGTTGATTTCATGTATGTTGGCTTTTCTATGGGATAATGTAAAGTACAATGCTGTTGCTTAGCAATGAAATCTGCTTTTTATGTATTCTTATTGGTTGTGTTTATTATTCAAGAATGCAATATTTATTGCTGTTTCGATTGATGAATGTTTATCCTTTTTTTTGCCTGTGTATGTTGTTGTATGATTTGCTTGTTCAAGATTTCTTGAACTGCAACTTGATCATCTTTTTGATTTTCTTGAAAATCTCTGGTAATAAACAGGTACTCTGTGCAACAAGTACTTACTGGCAAACTGGTAATTTGGTATATTTGCATCATGGATTTTAAGGTAAACTAACTCTTGTTATTCTGATTTCTCTCTTAGGAACTAGCTAGGATTGAGGTTTATACAAAGTTCAGTACTCTCTTTCTATATTTTGTAATGGTGCCTAGTACATTGTAATATGTACATGCTCATTATTTTTTGAAATGAAATTTTGATCTGATTGATTGATAGAATTAGAGTACGCGGATGAAACGACAGTGAAACTTAACCAGTTCATCTCCGACAGTTGCAGATTGAGAGCTTGCATGGGTAAGGTGGTGGATGTTTGAGCACTTAGAAGATCTGGATGAGGAAAAATGTCAAGGAATTTAGATTAGAAGTGATTTATTAATTTGGCATCTGCCAGTGTGGAGCATGTTTTCTTATGCTTTTTGATAGAATATTTTCTAAAATAAGAATATGCAATCCTGTGAAAGATCGACCATATGTTTAGCTATTAAGGACTCCATATTTTGCATTTTAACCTTTTCCAGAAAGCCTTCTCCTCTTAATTGTACCTAAACTTTATGCAGTAGACATTTATTCTGCAACCTTTAGATAATTCATTTTGAAACCACATTTCTTGTTTGGAAGAATCACTTTATCCTCTCTTAAGAAATGAAACTTGAGAAAAAACAAAGGCAGCCGATGCACTAAGCTTGCGCGTGATTCGGGGAAGGGCCGGACCCCTGCATTTCTATAAGAGGCTGGTTCCACGGCTTGAACCATTGACTTCCTGATCACGCGTGGCAGTATAAGAAATGAAACTTATACTGCTAAAAATTCCTTCCCACATAAAGTTCTTCTCAAGCATGTCAAGCTGTTGGAGAGTGGAGAAATGACATACTCCCTCCGTTCCAATTTATGTGAACTTGTTTGATTGGGTACAGAGTTTAAGAAAAAATAAAGACTTTTGAAATTTGTGGTCCTAAACAAATCAAAATGGGTTAGAGTATTTGTGTGGTTATAGAAGCTTCTCATTAAGGGTAGAATTGAAAGTTTAAGCTAAATTGTTTCCAAATTTAGAAAGAGGTCATTCTTTTTGTAACGGACCAAAAAGGAAATAGGTTCACGGAACGAAGGGAGTAGTATATATAGGTGGCCAAGCTGTCTTGGTCCTTTGGGACACTGTTAATCAGTCACTTCACCTATCAGCGAAAGACGGGTGTCATTTTTTCGGGCCAGCTACTGGCTTCTTGTTAGCTCCTTATCAACTCCAATTGTGGTGTATGTGCCTTTTGTCTTAGGTAGGGGTGGCAAATGGGCGGGTTGGGCTGAATTTGGGCGGGTCAAGATGGGTTAGGTCAATAAATGGGTCATTGCCCAACCCAGCCCAAAGTGTACTTGGGCTAAGATGGGCTGGGTCAAGATGGGCTAAACAATGGGTCATAACCCAACCCGCCCAACTTGACATTTTAGAACCATACTCATCTTACGTTAGAAAAAGTCTTTTAACTTAAAATGTGTAAGTTGGAAAAAATTTTGGGGGTGGTGGGGGGTGGGGGTGGGGTGGGGGATGATGTAGAAAAATGAAAAAAAAAAGAAAACAGATAAGAAAGATTAAAAAAAAGTAAATTTTTTTGAGGGGTTTGCGGGTGGGTGTGGTGGCAGGAATAGTAAATTAAAATACAAAAAAAAAGTAAAAAAAAATTTTTAAGGGGGGGGGGGGGGAAGGGCAGGGTGGGGTGGTGAAAAAAAAAAACAGAAAATTAAATTACAAAAAAAAAAAGTAAAAAAAAATTTTTAAGGGGAGGGGGGTTTTGCGGGAGTGGGGTGGGGTGGGGTGGGAGGGGGGGTGGATGGGTGCAAGAAAAAAAAATAGAAAATTGAAATAACAAAAAAAAAAAAATTTGAAGGGGGTGGGGGGAGGGGGGCAGGGGGGTGGATGTTTGCAGAAAAACAAAAGAACATAAAAATTGAAAATACAAAAAAAAGTAAAATTGGGGCAACTAAATATATTTCTATATAAGTTAGGTTGAGAAAAATGAAAGAAAAGTATTAAGAAAATATTCATGTAACTTTAAAAAGAAGAGCTAGAGATATAGAGAATTTATATTTCAATTACGAGATTTCTCGACAAATATCAAGCTTTTTGTACGTTCTAAGCAAACAAAAGTTGTTTATATGATTAATCGACTACGTAACGAAAAAATATTTAAGGGTTTAAAGAAATATTTTTTTCTAAAAAAAGTAGAAGGGCCGGCCTGCCCCAGCCCGCGGCCCTCTTAGGGTTGGGTTGGGATGGGCAATTTAAGGCCCATTCATATGGCGGTCCAGCCCGTCCTAGCCCATCAAATTTAAAAGCCCATGAGGCTTGAGCTAGGTTGGGCTGGCCTGGCGCATTTTGACAGCTCTAACCTAAACCAATGCAAAACTTTAAAAAATCCAATACTATTGTCATTCCTAGTATTCAATTGAACTTTTTTTGGTAGGATTAATATTGATTTGATTTTGCTTTGGGATTTATTTGAGTTACTAACTTTTATGGGCTTAAAATATATTTGATCATTCAAAAGTTCTAAGTCCAAACTTGAAATAATACATTAAAAGATAACTATGAAGAAGTTTAAAAAATATTTATAAATTACATTACAATAATTATTTTTATGTATAAAATATTATTAAATGTTTCGGTTTAACTTTTTTTAGTTAAAACCAACCAAACCAATTATGGCCGGGTTTTTTTTTTCAAACACCGAACTAAATCAAACCAAACCATAGTCGGATTTTTTTTTCTCGGTTTGACTCGAATTATCGATTTGGTGCGGTTTATCGATTTCCTTTGTAGACCCCTATTCTCATCTATGCTCGTCAAGACAACTTTGGTCTTTATAATAGAACAAATGCAACAGATTACTATTAATCTTTTATTGCTTCTCATAGGGATTACTTGGTGGAATGTCTAGGTTGGGAATGTTATCAGATACAAAACCAAGTTTTTTTTTATTATATATATAATGATTTAAAGGGAGATCGGGAAGGAGGTGTCTCTTTTTGCCCCTTTCTTGAGGTGCCAATTGAATCATGCCCATAACAACTGATTAAGTTGGCCTTAGACGCATAAAAGTCAGGAATACAATGTATGCGATGAAGCAGTAGCGTAAGTAGGAATTTTTGTAAACCGTGTTAATATTTGAAAAATATAAACAATTAATAAATCATTAAAACAATAAGCGGTGTCACTTTTTCTATTTATACCAAATATTGTTATTTTTCTTATGATCATATATATATATTTTTACGAAAAATTTTGACGAAGTGGTGTCACGTGAACCGCTTGAGATAAGGTGTCTACGCCCCTGAGACGAAGGTGCCTGTGTTAGGTGGGCCCGGGGAAGTTGTAGGTATTCGATGGAATAATCAAAGCGTACAAATTGTTGCGGATATCACTGTTATAAAAAATGAAATAAAAAAGTATGAGATAACTTGTAATTTAAAGATTGTTTCCTTGTTGATGTTAAATTATATCCTGGTCAAATCAGCAACAATTAATTAGTTAAAAGCTTATGGAAGTAGTTAAATAGTATTAACTTAGGTCATAAATTAGGAACGTTGGTTGAAATTGGAATAAGAGAATGAAGATTAATCAGCAACTCATTTTGCTTTTCTTGGCGAGAGAATGGAATACACAATTTTGATATATATGCATAACCCGGGATTACACACAAAAAAGGGTCCTTAGCTCAGTGGTAGAGCATTTGACTGCAGATCAAGAGGTCACCGGTTCGAACCCGGTAGGGCCCTTCCAATTTCATCTTATTTTAAAATTATCGACGTGCACAATTTCTCACTTTTATTGCAAAGATCAAAATACAAGAAGAAATGCAACTTATGAAACTTGTACTGCACTATTCAAATCAAACATTTTAGTTACTTAGTATAGAAGTTTTGAAATCAATTAGTAGAAGAGGAAGGAAAGAAAAAGAGAAGCTTCTGTCATTTGTTTTTCATTTGACAAGAAATGTTTAGTTGTATAAATAATTAGTGCTCGACTTATTTGCACATTTACCCACTTTTTTCTAGCAATTTAAAGTTTGCAACTGGCACTTAACGACACCATACTTCATTACTATTTGAATTTGTAATTCATAAGCATCCGTTTTACTTATTTTAAGCTGAATAGAGGACATAATAGCGGCACATTAACAATTTAAAACATGGCCGTACTTTCTTGAAAGGAATATTTTTCCTAATCACATCTTTTGTATTTGTTCAAACTCTTTGAACTTAAACAAACTGATACCTTTTAAATCATAAAAAATTAAAAAGAGAAGGATTTATTTTGAGGAGTCTCTCATTTCCTCACCTATTTGGCAAACCTCATGCTGATTCCTGTATTGCGTTCATCACAACTTTAGTCCCCAACCAGAAAAGGGTTTTATAAAAGCAGTAAAAAAAAAAATATGGCGTCGCCCGGACTCGAACCGGAGACCTTCAGTGTGTTAGACTGACGTGATAACCAACTACACCACGACACCTTGATGTTAAATTGTTTTTATATATTATAAAATACTAAATTCTGAGACACTTGATGCATTAATTGATGCGGTAAGGAGCTTTGACACAACTTAATTTTGTTAACAATCAAGAAATGAGTTGAGACTCATAAATTTCCAAAAAAAGATAGGCATTTAGCATTAAAGTACGCAACAAACCTAATAAGCGAGCCCCAGTACTGTGTTCAGAATTATATGGAAGGAGCAACAGGTTCTCTGACTTTATAACCAAACTTAAATATTTTGCTATAAACCTTAAAAGGTATCTATAGAATATAATTTTTTTAAATG